GGGCCCGCAGCAGCGTCAGCCCCCGTCCACGCCAGCTCCGTGTTAACCCTTTGCACAGGACTGCGAGTACAGCAAGCCGCCGGGCAACGCCGGAAGGATTACACACCTTGGACAAACCCAGCGCATCCGGATCCGGAGGGATTTCATTTCCTGGGAAAAACCACCATGAAACGAAACAGCCGCGGACGGAGCAAACCGTTCCCGCGCGAGAGGCACCTGCGAGCAAAAACCACCCCAGCGCCTTTAATCCTCGTCTGCAAGAAGCGGCCCGGAGGTTTGGAAAAGCTCCCGCAGCCTTTGTTCGAGGCGGCCCGGCGCCGCTGTCACAAGATGCACCCGTTCAGCAGAAAATAAAGGAAAATAAATAAATGCCCTCTCGCCACGCACGGGCTGGGCTGTGCCGCCGCAGGCACGTCCCCGGTCTCCCAGCCCGGAGCCAGCCTGCCCTTGGCACCGTCCTCTCTGCTCGATATTCCCCAGGCTAAAGATTCAGCCTGCGAGGAACGTGTTTGTTTTAAATAAATGGGTGGCACCGCGGACCTTTGCACAGCTTTCGGGAGAGCGGTGCCAGGAGGTGACGCTTACCTGGAGCGCCCAGATCCAAAGCTGGCACAGCTCGGTTGTGCCCTGCCCCGCGGGGAGAGAAACCGCGGCGGCCGGGCTGTGGAACAAGCTCCAAAATTTTTCTGAAACCATCAGAATTTTTTGTTGGGCTACCCGAGGCTCGGGGGTCAGCCCTTCCCCAGCTCACGCACTGGTTTTGGGGCTGCACGGGAGCTCAGGACCCATTTTGGCTCCTGGTTTTCGAGCACCCGCGGAGGCTCTGAAGACGAGGAGGAGCCGAGACACCAAAATGCAAAACGTTATAAGTATTTCTAAGGGTTTTCTGGGACCGGGCCCTCTTCAGCAGAGTGCCAGGAGGCAGGAGGGCGGCCTCAGGGCTCTCGTCTCGGCTAATGCCATGGGGCTAGTTCCCAGCTCTGAAGCTCTGCCATAATACACCAGTATCGGACACGTCCACGACCAGCGTTTCTAGCGCAATCCAAGGCTCAAAGAAAGAGCGCAACTATTACAGATACAACCCAGACGACCCCTCTTTACACCAGTCTCCCATCAAAACCTCCCCAGCCTGCCCTCAGGAGCCCAAACCAGAGCGCTGCTGGGAACAGGCATTGGCTACCTTCACCCTCTCCTGCCCGCAGATCCGGAAGGCGCAGCCAGAGCCGCTGCCAAAACACGCAGGGAAAAAAAAGTGGACCAGCCTTACCTCTCAGCCTGGCGAGTAAAGCCCCGCTGCCGGGCACATCCGAGCGGGCTGCACCAGTCAGACCCGTCAGCACAAAGCCCCTGCACCCTTCAGACAGTTTCTCGAGCATCAAACAGCGACTGTCTCCCTAATCCTGCCGGTTGCGACACTGGCCAGGCGAAACAAAGGGTGCAACCGGTGGCAGCGAAGGTTGGGGCGAGGGGGTGAGGAATCCCGGCTTGGAAACATTGTTCTGGTAACAAAGGCACAGTGTTTGCTCCAGCACGGCCCGGGATTTCTATCCACCAACACAAAATTCTTGGCTGCCACCACCGTGCTGGTGAGCAGGGTCCAACACGCGGCCGGACCGGGCTGTACGGTGCCACGGGAGCCCAGCCCGACCGGAGCCACGAGCCACCACGGAGCTACAAGCCGCCACGGAGCCACGAGCCACCGCGGAGCCCTCGTCACAATCTCGGGACAAAAAAAATCAACCACCTCACACCACACGCGGGTCCCCTGAGCCGAGTCATCGCTGTGCCACTACCTCCTCCAGAGGAAAAGCACAGATCCGAGCCTGACACGCAGCCACGCCATGATTTATTCATGGCAGTGGAAGAGAAACCTTACACTAGTGCTCGGGGCAGTCAGGAAGGCCGGTGCGAGGTACCAGCCCTTCGGGGAACAGAGGAATGAACCTGGAAAAATGATTTCTGCTCCCCCACGTGTTCCCTCTGCTCTCATTCTTCCACTTATTTTACTGACGGAGCGATGTACCGATTTATTTTCCTGACTGTATGCCCCTTAGCTGCTTCTGGAGGCAGCCAGGTTCCTCCAGGACCTGGTGAAAGGCAGGCAGGCTTCTTTCGTGGCATTTGGTTTATTACAGAGCCCTCAGTTCCTCCACAGAGCAACAAGAGGGGAAAAAACCCCAACAAACCAACAAAAACCAACCCCAAACAACCAGACAGACAGCATACAACCGCTCGCTGAAATACAACGGGCCTTCCCGTGCCCACCGAGCAAATAAGGAGATGTGTTATCAGCACGAGGTGGAGCTCCTTCCTTCCCACTGGTGTTTCGGCAAGGTGGGCAGCACCTGGAGGAGGGGACCCCCCCCAAGAGTCGCGGTGTTGGAGAAGACTGCAGCGGGCTGAGGCTCGCGCGGCAGCACAGGCGCCAGAAATGCTGCAGAGGTGCACACCCCCCCACCACAAACACGCTCCGCTGGGTGTTCACGCGTTGGTGTCACAACTTATCTGCAACAGGGCAAGGGGACTCTGCGCTGGGGTCCGGCTGTGGGCTTTTCGGTGGGTTTTTTTCTTTTTTTATTAAGGCAGGAGGCAACGCACCGGCGCCATGGAAGCCACGGGGCTGAAGCGTAGCCCAGGCAGCACTTGTGCAGACTGCTGCCGACCCCAGCACGCCTGCAGCTCTGGGGGGGTCAGTGTTTGCTCCCTCCCGGGGTGCTGGTGCTGTTTGACTTTGCTCAATTCTCCTCAGTCTTGAGGGTGTCGTATTTTCTCTCACTCGAGTACCACAGCGGCATCCCAACGGAAGGCAGAGTCATCACGCCAAAAACTGCCCGCTCCAGCTGGAAGGAGAAATTGTTAGAAAGAATTCCGAACAAATCACAGGCAGCTGAGTTATCCCCACCAGATCTTCCACCCGCAAAGCTTCTGGCCCAAATCCCACAGTGCGTGCTCCTTCGCGGAGGTAGCTGGGACAGAAACGGTTATTTCTGTGATATTTTCTTCTGGACAACTGACATGGGTTAACTACAATCCACCCTGGGAGTTTTTCGGGGACTGTAGCGCAAACGCAACACGCCACAGACGGGCACTGTGCTGGGCTGCACGATCACTGGAGTGTAATTTCAATTATTAATTGGAAGATACTTACAGAGCAAGGTGAGAACCTCCTATCACAATCACGCTGAGCCAGGATTCCTCCCTACCCAGGAGCACTCACAAAACCAACCTAAAAAAGAGGAGGAGAATATTTGCTACCTTTCCTTCTCACAACAGAGCACGTGCAGTGTAAGAGCGCAGGACACGCATCATCCCGTAACGAGCTCAAAGAGCACAGTCTGGTGTATCTGTTGCCAAGCCCGGGCTACGACTGCCTAAAAAGTCAAATCAAATCACTCACCGTGACCCATCCACCCTCCTGCGCCAGGTACGCCATGGCAGCAGAGGTGAAGTTGAAGCAAGCAGCTTTGCGAGGCCGCGGAACCACAGCGCGGCAGATATTACTGACTCTGAGATCTGAAACTTAAGGGAAGGAAGGAGACAGGTAAAGGAGATTCAAAGCAGATGGCAAAGTCAGTCCTGCCAACAGATGGCAGCCCTCTGTAGTTACAGACATCCAGACCCATCCAAGGCGGATCCAGCCGCTCCTCCTGCCCTCAACACCCGGCCCAGGGTCCAGCATGCTGGAATCTCAGCGATAACAAAGAGCTGCAGGACACGTAGGGGTAAGAGCGAGTGTTGGGAAGGGAGAAATTTCAAAACATGAGAAGATACCGAGCGATCTGGAGGCACTTGACAACGAACATCCCAGAGACAACGCCTAAATCCTCGCAGGGGGAAAGCCATCATTCGATGTGGCTCTGTATCTAAGCGCAACAAAGAAAGGGATAGGAGGAGAGTCGCAGATTTGGTATTCTGCTCACTGGGGGACTGCGCCAGGGAGGGATGGCAGCTCCACACTGACAATTAACAGCTGGAAGAACTGACTTTTGAAACATAAAAAGAGCTGGGGAGGAGAGTCAAGGTGTATTACAAGGAGACTGCGGGAAGAGGAAGACAAAGCTGAGAGAAGCTGCAAAAAAGACAGGAAACTGGATGTCAGAAAAGCTCACGAAGCCAAGAAAGAGCGTCTGTGTGCATGGGGAGGGGAAGATCACAAGACGAAACACGAGCAACCGCATCGTGCAGCTAGAGCAGCCATGAGGTAAGAGCAGGAAACAGCGAAAGCAGGGACAAAGGAATGGGAAGGAAAAGGCAAATTTCAGGGCTGGACCTTCAAGCTCCGGTGGTGAGCTCAGACTTAGGCGGAGCAAAGAGAACAGGACACCACGGAGCCTAGAAACAGTCTCAAGCCCTGCAGACACACACGCAGACGAAGATTTGCTCCTGACAAGGCTTACCTGGAGCCAGCGGCATAGATGATATCCTGCCGAGTCCACTCCTCCACAGCGTATCCGTTTAATAGTGATTAATAGTGATCTTCCTCACAGCAGGCCACGCAGAACAGGGCAAACACTGAGACAATTGGGAGCCTCATCTAGAAGCAAAAAGAAATATAGAGTGTCATCAGTGATTTAATTGCAAAGAGAACATACTGCGCAGCGATATCGATATGGGATAACGCTGGAGCAAGGAGAAAGGGCCCCGGCACCACACAGGTCTGCAGCTGCCCCCCAGATACTCACGTTCGTGCTGGAAGGTGCTCAGCCCCCGCTCTCAAAGG